AACCTTATGCTGAAAACTCCAAGACACATGGTTGTGAAATTGAATAATTTCAGTAATAAACAATAAGCCTGCAAGAGACTAGGAGAAAAAACTTTGAAAGGAAAGGAAAGGAAATTTGAATGACACAAGACTATTCAATAACCAATCTCCACAGATAGGAATAGGTCTCACATGTCCAAAGTGTGCTGTCTCCAAGAAGGGCTCAACATTGAAAGTTGTGAATAGCTGTTGTTATCTTGCAATATGAAGCATAAATAACTGCTCTATTAGTGAAATACAGGTGCTACTTTTTGTAGCATTGACAAGGTATTTGTGGAAGGGGCAGGAAATTAAGGTCTGTGTGAAATCAAACACGTAGCATAACACAGTGATCCAATCATTTGTCACTCAATCATTTGCTCATTCAAATTTCACCTTCCTCCTCCTCCACTCAGGCTTTGTTCACACACATACACACAAGTGTTCATACTTTCCAAGGTGGTTTCACAAAGGATCCAAATTTGGGAGGGATACAGGAGCTCACTTAGTACAACCCATACTCAAGACATGAATCCCCACTACAACACCTACATAAAGCAGAATCTCTATTTGAAGACCTGCAGTGATAAGAAGCAAAACTGAGTATAATTCTTCAATGGGAAAAAAATGGATATTTAATGAAGCAGAGGATTTTCAACCATTCCTGATGAAAAGACCAGAGCTGGATTGAAATTTTGACTTTCAAATATAAGACTCAAGAGAAGCATAAAAAGGTAAACATGAAAGAGAAATCATAAGGGAACTTATAAGGTTAAACTATTTATATTTCTGTGTGGGAAGATGATACATGTAACTCGTAAGTATTTTATCATTATTAGGGCAGTTAGAAGGATTCTACATAGAGGGCATAGGAGTGAGTTGATTATGTCGGAACGATAAAAGAGGTGCCCAAGACAGAGTTTTTACAAAAAGTGGACCTAACTCTCACCTAAATTTTTTCAAAGAGGGGGAAATGTATGAGTATAGAAATCTATTTTACCCAACATGGAAGTAGAGGAGAAAGGGATAAGACAAGAGGGTTGAGGTTGATAAAAGGGAGGGCAGATAAAAAGAGGTATCAGTCAGATGCAAACAGACTTTAAAGAAGGGGTAGGATAAAAAGAGAGAGAGAAGAATGAATAGAAGAAAATAGGATGGAGAGAAATGCATGATTAGTAATCATAATTATGGATGTGAATGGGATAAATTCATCCATAAAATGGAAGTGGATAACAGAATGCATTAAAAACCAGAATTAAACAATATGTTGTTTACAAGAAACATACTTGGAACAGAGAGACACACACAGAGTTAAAATAAGGGGCTAGAACTAAATCTGTTGTGTTTCAGCTGAAATTAAAAAAAAAGGCAGGGATAGCAATCATGATCTCAGACGAAGCAAAATCAAAAATAGAAGTAATTAAAAGAGATAAGCATGGAAAATACATCTTGCTAAAAGGTACCATAGACAATGAAGTAATATCAGTACAAAACATATCCATGAAATGGCATAGTATCCAAATTCTTAAAGGAAATGTTAAATGAATGATAGGAGGAAATAGTAAAACTGTACTAGTGAAAGACCTCAACTTCACTCTCTCAAAAATAGATAAATATAACTATAAAATAAATGATAAAAAAAAGTTAAGGAGATGGTTAGATTATGATAGATATGATAGACTTCTAGAAAAAAATTTAATGGAAATTGTAAGGGATATATCTTTTTCTCAGTTGTACATGGCATCTTCACAAAGACCGACCATGTATTATGGCATATAATCTCACAACCAAATGCAGAAAAGCAGGAATATTAAATACACCTTTTTCACACCACAATACAATAAAAATTGCAGCCATAAAAGGACTGTGAAAGCACAGATTAAAAATTAATAGGAAACTAAATAACCTAGCCCTAAAGAATGAGTGGGTCAAAGAACAAATCATAAAAACAATAAATAATTTCATTAAAGAAAATGACAACAATGAGACAACACACCAAAATTTGTGGGATGTAAGCAAAGCAGTACTTAGTGGAAATTTTATCTCTATATATACTTATATCAATAAAACAGAGAAAGAACAGATCAATGAATTGGGCATGCAACTAAAAAAAACCAGATAAAGAACAAGTTAATAAAACTTCAATTAAACACCAAAATGGAAGCCTTGAAAATCAAAGGAGAGATTAATAAAATTAAAAGTAAGAAAATACAAACTATTAAATAAAACTGGGAACTGGTTTTATGAAAAAAAAAGTGGGAAGACTTATATGAACTGATGCAAAGTGAAGTGAGCAGAACCAGGAGAACATTGTACAAAGTAACAGCAACATTGGAAGGATAGTCAACTGTGAAAGACTTGAGCACTTGGACATAAACATTTGTTGAACTGAAATGAATTCCAGATGCCCTCTTCATCTGTATTACTTTCCTCTGGAGGCATTCCATCTCATCAATGTTCTTCTAAAATGTTCTTCCCAGAGCAAAATACACCAAATATGGTCTAGACTAGAGTAGCAGAAAGTAAGACTTTTATCTTGCTTCTATTAATAAAACTGAAAGTCTTAGATCTAGAGTTAGCAGGATTCTAGCTAATCTAACCCTTTCATAAGTGTCTTGCCAAACGGTGCCCAAGTTGGAAGAATCAGAGGTGGGATTGAACCCATATCTTCTGACTACAGCCATTGCTCTTTCCAAGATAACCTGCTACCATTTCATCTAGAAGTAGCGCTTTTTTTTTTATCTGCCTCACACTGCTCATTTGTAATCAGCTCACAACCCAGTACAATCTGCAGGGTCTTTTTCAAATGAACAGCTTTCTAGCCATATGCCTGTCATCCTGTATGTGGGCAGGTGATTTTTTTGAACCCCCATCCAAGATTTGACACTCCTTGCTAATTAAACTTCAGGCTATGAGCTTCAACCTTCTGAGATCTTCTGGCATCTTAAATCTTAAATCCAATATCTGTCCTAGTTTCACGTAATTTTAAAAATTAGGTACATGGTCTAGAGCAGTGGTGTCCAACTAAAAGAGAAAAGGAGGCTATTAAAACATATATAAGAATCCCTGGCTGCATATTGACTTATTTTTATAATGTAATATCATCTATGTTTTATTAGTTTTTAATTTATTTTGTTAAATATTTCCCAATTACATTTTAATCTGACTTGGACCACACTTGGGGGTCTGTACTTAATGCTTCTGTACTAGATGAAGCCTAAACTTTTAAAAGTCCCATTGGTTCCGTAATTATATCGGCAAAATAAAGAAAAACAAGGAATTTGTCTGTCACTTCCAGTTTCCAGGGACCTTTTATGCCTCCCCCCTCCTATACTCTAAGCAGGATTTGTTGAAAAATATCAAAGAGTAAAACTGAAATAAAATATGGGAAAGGGACCAAGAAAGTGATAGTGGGTTAGTGATAGATCTGTCTGTAACTCAAAATTAGCTTAGGGCCAGACAGAGAGAAAATCTTTATACTACATTCAGTCTAAAATTGTTATTGTTGGGGCAGCTAGGTGGTGCAGCGGATAGAGCACAAGCCCTGAAGTCAGGAGGACCTGAGTTCAAATGTGACCTCAGACCAAACACTTAACACTTATTAGCTGTGTGACCCTGGGCAAGTCACTTAACCCCAATTACCTAAAAAAAAAAGTTGTCATTGTTAGGGCAGCTAGGTGGTGCAGTGGATAGAGCTCTGACCTTGGAGTCAGGAGAACCTGAGTTCAAATCCAGCCTCAGACACTTGACATTTACTAGCTGTGTGACCCAGGGTAAGTCATTTAACTGTTTTTCAGCCTCATTTTCTTCATTTGTGAAACAGAGATAGTAATATCATCTACTTTTCGGAGTTGCGAAGACCAAATGAGACAGCACAAGTAGCTGTTCAGTTATGTCTGACTTTTTGTGACATCATTTGGGATTTTCTTGGCAGAGATATTGGAGTGGTTTGCCATTTCCTTCTCTGTCTCATTTTACAGTTGAGGAAACTGAGGCAAACAGTGTTAAGTGATTTGCCCAAGGTCACCCAATTAATATGTGTCTGAGGCCAGATTTGAACTCAGGAAGCCTGACTCAGGCCTGACATTCTATGTGCTGTGCCACCTGGCTGCCAGAGCACTTTGCAAACCTTAAAGCGCTACATAAAACACTATTACTTTTCAGGTTGGAGAAGGAAATGGCAAACCATTCCAGTGTCTTTGCCAAGAAATCCCTAAATGGAGTTACGAAGAGTTAGACACGACTGAAAATGAATGAACAACAAAAATCATTAAGCAGTTAGGTGGTACATGTATAGAGGACTGAACTTGGAATCTGGAAGAACTGAGTTCAAATCCAGCATCAGACACTGCTAGCTGTGTGACTCTGAGAGAGTTACTTAATCTGAATTCCCCATCTGTAAAATGAAGATGATAGTAATAGCACTTACCTTCCAGAGTTATTGTGAGAATAAAATAAGACATTTTGCAAAGTGCTTGGTGAAACTTAGGGTGCTATATAAATGCTGTTATTATTATTATTATTCATTATTGTTGTTGTTATTGTGTAAATGAGTCTTCTGCCCCAGTCTTAGGGGCCTCTCCAGAGATCATCATCAGACTGTACCATGTGCCCACAGGACCTCATGCTACAGACGACTGCCTTGCATGATCTTACCAGTTTCATCAGAATCCCAGAAGGGAAATATTAGAAAAGGCACAGGGGTTGAGGATGAAGTAAAATTTCCTTTTCAGTAGTCTTCAGAAGTTCAGATTGTCCAAATAAAGGCTCTTTGAAGAAAGGAAACTTGAGGTTTACACAGTCAGCATCTGTGCAAACAAACACTCTAGGGGAAGCCGAGAGAACCAGGGATGGGCATCCCTACCCCCACCTCCCCAGATGCAGGCTCTGATGCATTTGGGCTCTTCCTTTTCACTCAGGCAGAGATCCTATTTAGGATATGGAGGGGAAAAACACCGACAACAAAAGAAGAGACCTTTTACCTGCTTGTTTTTCAGGGGCTGAACTACCTCCCTAATGCATAGCTGCAGGTCATTGAGATAGTCCTTTTCCGTCTGTATCAGCTCCTTGATAATGTTCGACCTCTTTGCCATCATTCTCCTTATCTGCTGCTGTTCATCCTGGGCTGTGGGCCCAGGTGCCGAGGCCTCAGCTTGTGGTGTCATCTTTTCTGTTAAATTAAAAAATGTAGCAATAAGACCTTCTGCGGAGGGCTCCGATGCCTTTTATCTTTCCCATTCATTGCTAACAATACATCTCCTGGATTATTCATAGCAATGAAACAAGTTTGGGGCAGCTCACAGATGTGTTCCTAGGCACTGATTCACTGCCATTCTTGCCAGGCCCTGACATTGAGCGGCTATGAAGGAGGATGGGGGGTGGGGGAGGCTGGTGGTGACAATGGGGAGCTTCACAAAGAAGCAAGGAGTGAAGGCATTAGTACCTGCCGATGTTAAAAATAGTCCCTGGCTGTTTCTCTCTTTCTGAACACCCCACCCGTTCCCTAGCTAGGTCCACAATAAGTGAAAACTACGTTTTAGAAGCTCTTGCCGATCTGTTGGCTTTGGTTATCTTTAAATCAAGGGCAGCTTGCATTAGCAAAGCTGAAGATTCCAGATCATGTTTGTCTATGGTATTAAGGTGGATTGTTCCCTAGCTTTACTAGGAAATACCCCATTGAAAGAATGAAAAACCAGACTACATTCTTAAAGCTTCTTTAAGTTAATTTACACTTATTGAGGGCCCGTAGGTTGCTAGCCACTGGTCTGGGGTGGATTCCATCACTTTCCTAGTACAGAAACTAGACCCTTAACGCATCTGGCCTCAGACTCTGGGCAAGTCACTTACCCTCTGTCTGTAGAATGAGGATAACCATAGCATCTATCTTCTGGGGTTGTTGTGAGAATCGAATGAGGTAATATTTGTAAGGCCCTTGGTGGAGGGCCTGGCACATACTTGGTGTTTAATAAATGCATGTTTTCTTCCTACAGTAGAAAGTGCACTGGCTTTGAAGTTAGGGGACTTACCTTCCAAAGCTACCCATTTTACTTAATAGTTGTGTGACTTCAAGAACGTTCACTTAACCTCTCCAGGCCTCAGTTTCCACATATATTGAATGAAGTTGACCTCTGAGTTCTTTTCATAAAATAAGTCTATGACTCTTATGATCCTATGATCTTTGTATCATAATCTCCCAAATTTAGGAACAACAGTCAAACTTTGGAGGTTCAGAGAAATTGGAAAAAGCAACCTGATTTTTAACTGTAGAGGAAAGAAAGGAGAGATTTAAGGAACACTGAAGGTCAAGTGAGCTGCCCAATGTCACCTATGAGTGTCAGAGGTGGGATTTGAACCCAGACCCTCTGAGGTGAGCTAAGGCCGCCACACTGTTCTGGTAATGGGTTTATGTTGATCCCTCTCTTTTTTTTTCATTTAACTTTTTTTCCAACCTTGCTATTTCTGAGTTGCCTGGTCAAAGTCAAGAGTGAAATCTGCAGCCATGGGGGCAACTAGGTGGCATAGTGGATAGAGCTCCAGCCTTGGAGTCAGGAGGACCTGAGTTCAAATTTGACCTCAGACACTTGACAGTTATTAGCTGTGTGACCCTGAGCAAATCACTTAACTCTGATTGTCTCACCAAAAAGCAGAAAAAGAAAAAAAAAGAAATCTGCAGCTACCAAATATGACTGCTCTTGGGGCTTTTCAGATCTTTCTCCTTTTCTACCTGCAAACCCAGCCATTGTCTAAGACCTGTAAGTAGGAACCAGAGTTTTCCCAGATGGACACATATCGCTGTGGAAAGCGCTTTGGGAAGATAGTCACACTGCTTCTAGTTTCTCCCTTTCACTTTCTCCTCCAAGCCAACCTTCACAAAGCCACCAAAATAATCTTAAAACTCATCTCTGGACATTTCATTCCCCTGCTCAAAAATAATCAGTGGCTTCCTGTTGCCTCTGAGTTAAATACAGACACCTTATCCTGACATTCAAGGCGCTCCACATTATCTTCTTCTTCAAAAACTCTCTCCCAGCCTAACTAGTCTTGGGGCTGTGACCCCAGTTGCTTGGGGCCGTGTCTTCCTTCTGTGCTTTTCACAGACTGTGCTTGGAATTTATTCCCTCCCGCCTTCAGCCTCTTAAGATCTCTAGCTCCTTTCAAAGTTCAGCTCAGGTTTGATTTCTAACCAGAAGAATGAGGGTTTCTTACTCAGATCACAGTCTCTTTAATTCCTTGAGCACATGTGGTATACCCCCCAGTAGGAGGCAAGCTCCTTGAGGGCAGGGACTGTTTCGATTTTTGGCTTTGAATATCTGTTGCTTAGCATAGTATCCAGTAGGTGCATAATAAGTACTTTTTGATTATATATCTGTATACAATTTACATGTCCCAGCAGAATTTAAACTCCTCAAAGGCAGGGATTATATCATGTTTATCTTTTCATGCCTAGAGCTCAGCTCAAAGTCTTCTACATAGCAGGTGTTAAAGTGGAAGCTTTGCCTAATAGGGCAGGCCTGGGGAGGGGGAAAAGGGGCAATCATGGCAGTATTCCCTGAGCAGCTAGGGATAAAGTGTGAGAGCAGCAGACATCTAGGGGGAGAAGAGTTTACTCAGAGGGTGGGAGGTCAGTGGGAAGGCAACAACTTTGACCAGTTTTGCCAAGGATTGACCATGCTATTAGAAAATTAATTTGAAACAAGCTCCAATTAATCAGAGATTGACTTTTCCATACAGATCATTCAGCCTCTTTGATTTGTTTTCCTTCTTGCTTTACCTGCATGACTCTAGGTTTTTCATTCATTCATTCTTTTTTTTGTTTATTCATTTATTTTACTGTTCCTTTGCTTCAACTCTGCTACTGAGCAAATGACATTTGAGTAATTTTTGAGACTTTTGAATCATCTGTAGCTTTTAGCTCTCCCTGCTCTCTGTCTGCCCCATTATCATGAATAATTGAGCATATGTTGAATTCCTACAGATGGATCCAAGTCCCCAGGAGTACTGCCTGAGGAAGAGCTCTGGTCAATATTTACGCAGCACAAAACTGGTGACACATGGTGAGGGAAGTGCACTGTTCAAAATGGCTCTGTTCTGCAATGTTGAAAATAGATTTTAAATATTCAGTTGGAGAAAAAAAATAATTGGTCCCTTTAAGGGAAAAAAAGTGATTTACATAGATTGACTGTTGTTGTTGTGTTGATGGGGTGCTTGGGAGCTTGTGCTTGGACCCCAATTTCTCCCTAGTCTCAGACACACTGTGTCTGACAATCACTTCCCAGCCCAAGGACACTGTGCCTAGCAATTACTCATGTGTGGGCCCCAGCACGACCCTTATCTCTCCCTGGTACAGCTACACAAAGCTGGGTGAGACTGCTGGGCTGCTCAGGCCCCAGCCCTCAGATCATGTCTCTGGAAGTCTCCCAATTCCTTAGTAAGTTCCTGTCTTGTGAGAAAGCTTTCCCTTGTTGTAGAGCATTCTCTCATCAAGACAGAGGAAGAGGGGTGCTTTGCCCAGCCCAAGGAGTTTTGTCCTTGGCCAGCCAAAGGACTCTTCCTCCTGCCAGACTCCAAAGATCCATACTTCTGTCATCTCCCTCCCTGTTCGGTATACTCCCTGTACTTTCCCATCCATAGCTCCCAAAGATACCTGGACCTTTAGGTTACCTCATCAGTGTCCCTGGCATTCCTTTCCCGTGCCCTTTTCCATATAAACCCTAGCTCCATCCTCAGTCTCTCACAGGTTCTTTAAGAATCCTTGCCCGCTGAAAAAAGCATAACAATAAATCTTTGCCACCTTGACTTGAAGAATGCTTGAGTCTATGAATTCATTCTAGATGAACTAGCCTATACTCCAATCTTTGAGGGGTCTCAGTCTCTCAGACAAAAAACAGTGTGTCCTTCTTCTGGAAGAGGATCAAGACAACAGGGAGGTGATGTCGTGATTTGCAAGTGAATTGGATTTAAGCGAGGAAGGGCTACACAAGGTCACCAGCCTCACTTTCTCCTCCAGAGCCATCTGGGTCTAGAATTTGGAACTCAAAACTTTAAAAAATGAATTTGAAAAATTGTTTTTAGATGTAATTGAGGGGAAAAATAAAATATTATTAAAAGAAAGAAAGAAAGAAAGAAAGAAGAAAGAAAGAAAGAAAGAAAGAAAGAAAGAAAGAAAGAAAGAAAGAAAGAAAGAGAAAGAAAGAAAAGAAGGAAGGAAGGAGGGAAGGAAGGAAGAAAGAAAAAAACAAAGAAAGAAACAAAGAAAAAAGAAAGTCTCTGAAGCCAGAAGTCTCCTTGACTGGAACCAATTATAGAAAGTCTACACATACTTTGCTGTCTTTCCAAGGTACTTCTCTTAGACATCACCACAAAAAGGATTTCCCAGTTCCTTCACATGGGAAAATTGCACCTATGGAGCAAACTGATAGGGTCTGTGCATGCACTAGATTTGGGTTACATAAGAATAAACCTTATACTAGAGAAGCAGGGGGCATGTTGGATTTGTGGGCCAGTTTGATTCCGAGTTCAAATTGACATTGACTAGCTGTGGGACCCTGGGCAAATCACTTTAACTTCTTGGACTTTTTGTCTCTACATCATAAAGAAATGGCATAAAATAGTGATTATACAGAACGGATGGCACCATAGGGTATAGAATGCCAGGCCTGGAGTCAGGATAACTTCTTCCAGAGTTCAAATCCAGACTCAGACACTTACTAGCTATGTGACCCTGGGCAAGTCACTTCAGCCTATTTGCCTCAGTTTTCTCATCTATAAAATGAGTCAGAGAAAAAATTTGTTCTGTAAAATTTGGACTAAGTCAAAAGGCAGCACCCAAGGACCTAGAGGGCTACATGTGGTCTCGAGGCTGCAGGTTCCCCATCCCTGTATTCAAACTGTCAAGTTTTTTTGTGTCCTGTTGTATCACTACTCACCTTGTGTCATCTGCCAACGTGATAAGCATGCTCCAGGTACCTTTATTCATGTCACTGATAGAGGGAGGGATAGAGATGGGGTGGACTTGTGACTTCATTAGTCTAGGGAACTCCCAGGTGAGGAAGCTCCTTCTGCCAATGCAGGGTGGCCCCTGACCAGCGATTTGTAGTCTTAGAGAGGGGAGAATTCCCTACAGAAATACGAGGTGAAGTGACTTACCCAGGGTCATACAGCCACTAAATG